ATTCGGTATTGTTGCAGCCGCTGCTGTAGCAGCGGCCAGAAAAATTGATGTTTGTTTCACAGGCAGAAAGTGCCCTAAAACATGGCGGCTTGAACCCTAGTTGGTGGCGGATAAGTCACGCAAGTCAACCGGCATTCAGAGCTAAAATACAGCAGCGTGTGGACCATTTTTAGCCCAAGGCAGCTCATCTCATCAGGCCCTTTTTACATAGGGTCACTTGGCAGATATGGATTGACACCTGTCCTAGGGATCCCTGATACACACTGACACAGAGCAGAATAGGGACTGTTCCTCCTACATCGGGTCACTTGGCAGATATGGATTGACACATGTCCTAAGGATCCCTGATACACACTGACACAGAGCAGAATAGGGACTGTTCCTCCTACATCGGGTCACTTGGCAGATATGGATTGACACATGTCCTCAGAGACCATGATACACACTGACACAGAGCAGAATAGAGACTGTTCCTCCTACATAGGGTCACTTGGCAGATATGGATTGACACCTGTCCTAAGGATCCCTGATACACACTGACACAGAGCAGAATAGGGACTGTTCCTCCTACATCGGGTCACTTGGCAGATATGGATTGACACATGTCCTAAGGATCCCTGATACACACTGACACAGAGCAGAATAGGGACTGTTCCTCCTACATTGAGTCACTTGGCAGATATGGATTGGCACTGTCCACAGGGACAAGCTGCAGACTTCCTGGCAGGGCCCATACAAGGTGGTAGAGCAGGTTTGTGATACCACCTTTGTGATCGGTGCGGTCACAGGCACGGGAGGCAAGCGCATGCTCCATGTGAACAACCTCAGACGCCTATCCTATGCCCCGGATAGACGAGCTCCTAGACAAAATGGCCAGAGGCCAGTACCTCACCACAATAGATCTGTGCAAGGGTACTGGCAAATTCCATTAGCCGAGGACGCCATCCACAAGTCGGCATTTGTCACCTTGTTTGGCCTGTATCAGTTTAAGGTCATGCCATTCGGGATGAAGAATGCCCCGGCTAACTTTCAGAGGATGGTAGATTGGCTACTGGATGGGTTTCAGGAGTATGCCTGCGCCTACTTGGATGGTATAGCCATTTTTAGCTGCTCCTGGCCCGAACACCTGACCCACATAGGAGCCGTACTAGACCGGATTAGGGAGTCCGGACTGACCCTAAAGCCCAGTAAGTGCCATATAGGAACGTGTAAAAACCTCCCCAAGATAGTAGTATGGGCCCCAGAGTGTGAACAGGCCTTCCAACAGCTCAAGACGGCGCTCATTAAATCACCTGTATTTTCTGCTCCTGATCCAACTAAACACTTTCTCGTCCATACAGACGCTTCTATGTTTGGATTGGGAGCAGTACTGAGCCAAGTCGGAGCAGATGGTGGCGAGCAACCCGGGGCTTATCTAAGCCGTAAACTTTTGCCCAGGGAAGTAGATACACTGCCATTGAAAAGGAGTGCATGGCGGTGGTGTGGGCCCTCAAAAAGCTGCAACCTTACTTGTATGGACAACCGTTACCTTACTCACAGATCACAACAAATTTGGGGCACTGCGCGTGCAATCTAATGTGCCACCAGATAGGAGTGGTGTGTTTAGTACTATTTTTATCAGTTTAATCCCTGTTACGTCCCCTATCCGTTGATGTGGAGCAAGACGCAGCAGCAGAAGAGGACTCAGCCGAGGAGGTTATGGAAGAGGATGGAGTAGGAGTAGTAGGAGGTGGCAGCAGGCCTGCCTGCAAGTCGTGGCGGTGTCACCAACTCCTCTGCAGAGCCACGCATTCCATGCTTGGCAGCCGTCAGCAGGTTTGCCCAATGCGCAGTGTAGGTGATATACCTGCCCTGACCATGCTTTACAGACCAGGTATCAGTGGTCAGATGGACTCCTTGCCCCAACACTGTGTGCCAGACATGCCATTATTTCCTTTTGCACAATCGAGTACAGGTTGGGGATTGCCTTTTGTGAAAATAAATTTCGTCCGGGTACCAGTGAGTGAGTGGTGGCACTGGGCACAGTATCCACTGTGAGCCTGACACACCTGCTGGCAGACAACTAACTGCTATTCAATCTATAACAGTGAAAAAAGTTTTTTGTTTTTAAATGCAAGCTATTATGACACCAGATGAGTGGTGGCACTGGTCACCGTATCCACTGTTAGCGTAACACACCCGCTTTAAGGACACTGACTGCTATTCAATCTATAACAGTGAAAAAAGTTTTTTGTTTTTAAATCCAAGCTATTGTGACACCAGATGTAAGTGGTGGCACCGACTGGGGAAATGGGCACAGTATGCACTGTGAGCCTGACACAGAAGCTGGCAGCAGTGGCAGACAACTGACTGCTATTCAGTCTATAACAGTGAAAAAAGTTTTTTGTTTTTAAATGCAAGCTATTGTGACACCAGTGAGTGAGTGGTGGCACTGACTGGGCAAATGGGCACAGTATCCACTGTGAGCCTGACACAGAAGCTGGCAGCAGTGGCAGACAACTAACTGCTATTCAATCTATAACAGTGAAAAAGTTTTTTTGTTTTTAAATGCAAGCTATTGTGACACCAGATATGAGTGGTGGCACTGACTGGGCAATTGGGCACTGTATCCACTGTGAGCCTGACACAGAAGCTGGCAGCAGTGGCAGACAACTAACTGCTATTCAATCTATAACAGTGAAAAAGTTTTTTTGTTTTTAAATGCAAGCTATTGTGACACCAGATATGAGTGGTGGCACTGACTGGGGAAATGGGCACAGTATCCACTGTGAGCCTGACACAGAAGCTGGCAGCAGTGGCAGACAACTAACTGCAATTACATTACATAGAAAAAAAAATAAAAAAAAAGCATACCCTAACCCTAACCTAGCTATGCATTTCCCTATCTAATCAACAGCAGCTACACTTTCCCTCCTCTCACTAAGCATGTAGCTTGAGAATGAATGTAAAATGGATGCCTTCCAGTAGGTGGGAGGGTCTGCTAGGGAGGGTGTGCTGCTAATTGGCTGGAATGTGTCTGCTGACTGTGAGGTACAGGGTCAAAGTTTACTCAATGATGACGAATAGGGGGCGGATCGAACCGCGCATATGTTCGCCTGCCGTGGCGAACGCGAACATGCTATGTTCGCCGGGAACCGTTCGCCAGCGAACCGGTCGGTACATCACTAACAAACACAAATACACACACCTTGACACACAGATAGATACGTACGTACGTACATACATACACACACACAGATAAACACTGTGTGTCAAGATGTGTGTATCTGAGTGCCACTATCTGCCAGTGTGTGTATCTGTGTGTCAGATTCATACACCATGGCACATGCAAACACAGACACACACACCTTGATACACAGACACACACAAACACAGATACACACTGTGTGTATCTGTGTGTCAGATATACAACTGAAACATACAAGCACAGATATACACACCTTGACACACACCGGCACATTTAAAAAAAGCAAAATAAAAACGGCGCAATTGAATTTATTTATTTTCTGGGGAGGGGGGAGGGAATTAATTGGGAACCCCTGCTTTAGAGAATAACCTGGATTGATTTCAGGTTTGGAATAGGTTGAATGCTGGCCTTTTGTATGTATTTTAATAATTAGATTCTGATTCTCATTTAGAAATTAACTAAAACCTGTTGGTTTACCAAGTACACATTATACACCGTGCACACCTCTTTAGTTATTACTGCAATCAATCTGAAAATATTTCTCACATTAAAGTTTCCATTGGTATACAAACTTTAGGAAACTACAGACCTAACGGACACTTTATTATTTTTATATATGACCAGCGGAGAAAAGGCTGTTACTTTCTCTAAAGTGTGTAGGTGATGGGAGGAGGGCAGAGGGGGCGCTGGCATTGGCAGCCTTTGGATACGGTATAGTCAGACCAGCAAAATGTTGCCTTAATTTCTCCATTTGACAATGTAAATCTTGTTCTGTCCTGTCTACTGATGGCGGGACTGAGAATGTGAATCTGAAAAGGAGGAGGGAGGCAGCACAAGGCTCTGCAAATAGGAAAAAGAGAAAAGGCTCTGCATGGGCTCAGCACAATACTCTGCATTGAGAAGGGGCAGAGTAACTGCACAGAGCTGAAAGCACATGAAAAAGCTCTCCTTGGAGGCAGGGCAGCCAAGCTCTGAAGGTAAAAGAGACAATCTCATCATTAAATGCGGCTCTGCGAGTGCAGGGCTTACGTAAACAGAGATTTAATGAAATTCAAAGCTAGTTAGTATTTAGAAAATTGGGCAGACTAGATGGGCCGAATGGTTCTTATCTGCCGTCACATTTTATGTTTCTATGTTAGCAGAATAATAGATTGACTTAATCAAGACGAGACAGAAAAATAGCCATCTTAATTTCCTGAAGCGAAAATCTGAAAAACTGCCATGCTGTAATATATAAAATACCGCAGTCTAATTTTAAATTCTCTTGCACCCTCTGTCATGTCCTGAAAAGGAGGTCCCGGATTTACTGTTATATTCTCAATCTTTTTTTTTCTTTCTAGAAAATGTTAATAATTTTGGACCTTTAAAATGTTAATGTTTAGAAAGTTAAATAATTAGATCAGAGGGTGTGGCTGGAAGTGCTCTCCTAGGAGTTCACGACCATCTGATTTACAATCATTTATGTAACTGAACATGTAATTTAGAACAAAATATTATATTTGCACAAACTGGTTTCTAAACACAATTATTTTAGTTTAAAGGAATTTTACTATGAATTTCATTGATGCAAAACTCTGCCATACACACAAATTAAATTATACGGATCTGGCCATGTGAATCTGATGCCAAACTGTGCCGGAACATTTATGACAAATGATAAAACATAAGCAATAGCTACATTTTTACTAAAAAGAATGCTAACAAACATATGTATTCCTGACACTATAGTTGTAATAACACTATTTAGCTCCCCTGTTCCTCTCTGAATTTACTCCCCTCTATTCCAGTGCTGTGTGGGTCTATTCATGGCCCTCAACCCATTTCCTCGGCTGAGATCTTCAGTCTTGATGAACCCAGCCAATCCAATGCTTTCCTATGGGAAAGCATTGGGAGACCATTGTGCATGTACTGCAAAACAATGCCCCTCTCCAATCACCACCTCCTCATGGAGATGCATTGAATCAATACATCTCAATGGGGAACGTTCAGCACCTTCATGCAGATCTTGGAGAAGTGCTGTACAGTACTCAGGAAGCAATTGTAATGACCGTCTGAGTGGCTGCCACTAGAGGTGTTCCTAGGCTGTAGTGTAAATACTGCCTTTTCTCTGAAAAGTCATTGCGTACGTTGAACAGCTGTAGTTGTTCTGGTGACTATAGTGTCCCTTTATCCATTATGCATTTAACTCAATGGTGACAGTTACCGTTATGTGATTTTTATTTTATATCTGTACATGCTATATATTTATTAAAGACAATGTCAATAAATACGCAGTATCAAGCAATCTTTGATAGGTACACAGTGAACTGCGACACAAGCTTAGAATTCCCATCACTGGCCTTTGAGAATCATACCTGGATTTTATTCTGTATGCCAATTATTGGACGATGAACCCTGATACCTGTATTGACCCTTGAACTGACCATGCCTACTTCATCCTGCGACTTTACTGGTCTACCACCCTTGACAACCTACATCTACCTGAAAATTGTCCACCTGCTCCTGTAGGGATGATTGTGGGACAAATATTTTCTCTGTCTCTACCTGTATCTGTCTCTACCTGCGTCTACCTGTGTCTGTTTCTATCTGCGTCTGTCTCTAACTGCGTCTACCTGTATCTGTCTCTACCTGTATCTGTCTCTACCTGCGTCTACCTGTGTCTGTCTCTACCTGTATCTGTCTCTACCTGTATCTGTCTCTATCTTTGTCTACCTGTGTCTGTCTCTACCTGTGTCTGTCTCTACCTGTGTCTGCCTCTACCTGAGTCTGTCTCTACCTGCATCTGTCTCTGCCTGTGTCTGTTTCTACCTGTGTCTGTCTCTACCTGTGTCTACCTGTCTCTGTCTCTACCTATGTCTGTCTCTACCTGTCTCTGTCTCTACCTGTTTCTACCTGCATCTACCTGTGTCTGTCTCTACCTGCATCTACCTGTATCTGTCTCTACCTGTATCTGTCTCTACCTGTGTCTGTTTCTACCTGTGTCTACCTGTCTCTGTCTCTACCTGTGTCTGTCTCTACCTGTCTCTGTCTCTACCTGTGTCTGTCTTTACCTGTCTCTGTCTCTGCCTGTGTCTCCCTTAGGATCCCTATATAATGCCCTCATTGTATTCCCTCGTCATCGTCTCTTTTTTTAACCATGTGGGATAGAAAGCACCGTAGGAGATTTATAAGATTCTCACATTGCATACCTACCTGCCCAGTGCTCCTTACTGCCCTAATATTCCTCCAATCTCCACTTACACTTCTTAAATCATGACGCTTACAAGTCTAGCAAGGTACAAGAGGTGATGACCTGGGAAGATAAAGTAACACAAAGCAGGGATGATGATTTGAATAATGGAGGAAGAGGAGGAAGTTATTCATTTTGGATATAGACACAGTTACGATAGAAAAGGATGGAAAGAAATGATGGCTCCAAGCAGTTACCAGCCTTGTCTGTCAATCATTGATCATATTTGGCATAAACATTGGTGCATTCTGGAGCACTGAGTCCGATGTCTTTCTTTTCTGAATAGAATAGTGATACATACTCAGTACTTAGTGAATTATTTTTGCAATGTTGCCATTTTTCTCAATCATTCTGCTGTGTGCTATTGTCCTTTCATTGTGACACATTCTCCCATTTGCTGAAATCTTCTCATATACACTATCAGGGTTATTCTCACTAAAGTGAACATTGAAGGTGAATTCAAAGTGAATTTCAAATTTAAGGTAAAAATTGACCAACTGGAAAAATTCTGTAAGTCAGCCGTGCTTTCAGTACAACTACTCTGGTCTTAAAGGGGCACTGTCACCGTCTGGGGACTTTGCCGAATTCGCAACAATGACATTGCCGCTAGTCACAGTGGGACACAGGGGGCAGGTAAGTGTGAAATTACTTTCCTAAACTTGTCCCTAGTGGGCGCCTCCATCTTGGTTGCGCTGCTCCTCTGCTGTACAGTATTGAGGGCTATGGGGAATTAATGAGAAAACAGGATCCTCCATTCACAAAGCCAATTTCCTGTAGCTATTACTGATAACAGCTGCAGGGATTGACACTTAGACTCCAACTTGTGCATTGAAAAGTTAAGCTGAGGAAAAAAGAGAGACAAAGTAGTCCCTCTATCTTAATTTGGTTGGAGTTTCAGTTAAATTCTAACAGAGTCATAATGAGTATTTCACAAAGATTCTATCTTTACAAAATACACATTTTTAATATGAGGGTGACAGTGCCACTTTAAATTTAAAATTCACTTTAAATTCACCTTAGATTTTCACTTTACTAAATAGCATTGTGTATTTCTCCCAATCATTTCTAGAGACCATCAATGCCTTGTATTAATATCCATGCTGTCGTAGTTCCCAATATATGTGCCCCTTATATATTGCCCAGATTTATATAGCCACATATACTGTCATATATGGCACACACAAGGAAACACGGACACACACAGCCCTGACCGCAGGATCCTTATTTTGGTATCCTTAAATAAGGCATTTTCACAGAATGATATCAAATTAGAGAGTGCTCTACTAAGCAACTGAAAGAGCAAAACGAAGGAATTGTTAACTTTCAGCAGTTTAATAGATAACTTCCTAAATAAAATTGGTACCCTTATATAGCAATGCCATATTTAAGGATAACAAATTAGGGAGCTGTTTAGTGGATATCTCCCTTATTTGGTAATAACTAAGCCCAACAGCTCCCTGATGTTGTGTATTGGCACCCTTAAATATGGATTGCTATTCCCACTTAAGGGATGATGACTTTAGAAGATTGAACTAATCAACAAACTGAAGGAAGATTTTCATTTTGTGCAATTAATTGGTTTCTGTTTCCATTGTGTCTTCCGAAATTCAGATCAAAGGACGGACAAACCGATTTTTGTCCGAATTGCAATTCTTCTGAAAATTCAGAAAATGCCGAAGTCTAACTTTCATGTGTAAATAGATCCCAAGCATATCCTACCTTAATAAATTAAATTTCGCGGGCTGGGCCTGACAGCCAAGATGGCTGGTCGTACTCTCTGAGAGCTCTTGCACCAGTGGGCACAAAAACGCTAATGCTGAACAAACTAACAATGCCAGCAGCACAAGGTGCCCAGAGAGCGATACAGGACTGTAGCGGAATGCTGGTCTCTCACAGACTATTTCCGCTGGTAGTCCCGGTGTGGCTCAGGAACAAGCAATAATCCCATTCACAGTACCCACAGTGAGCGAATAATCCAGCAGCGTAACAAGCACAATCAGCAGTAAAATGCAATAGTATCCCATCACCTTTCCCAATAACTGGACGACACACAGTATCAGGAGCAGAACTGAACTAACTTTTAATCACACAACCCCTGCTTTTATGCAAGGGAGCCACCCACAATAATTAGTACATTAACCAATCAAGTACAAGGTACAACCCACACATCTCCTCCCATCAGCTTATCTGTTAACAGAATTAAAATGTACATATTTTTCCCCAAGTTCTAGATGTACCCCAAATACATAGGGTACACCCCTAAATGTGGTATTCTCTGATAGCCCTGATCTGGGTGAATAACATATTCAAAAATCACCCAGATCGGACCAGGGGTTCGGGAGTTATGGGGGTTTAAAATTTTGTGGAGGTCCCTTTAGGCCCACTGGAGCATGGCTTTCCAGCCCAAACCAGTTCCAAATAGTCTGGCAGTGTGCCTGGGACAACGCCCTGCTGGAGAACAATGGGACAGGAAATGGGGGAGGGGTACACCTTCCTGTACACAATCCATACACAGTCTAATAGAAGTCCATAAACTGTGCTTAAAGGGCCAGTAGCCGCATAATAAAAATCCATTATGCCCAAATATATTCTTAAAAGGCAATACATCCCAGGGGCCGTAGTCACAGGGCAGGAGGCGGGCAAGCAGCCGCCTCCAAAAACTCGTGGCAAACTCCTTTAAAGGGGCGAGTTTGCTACAAGGACCACAGGAGGAACGGAACGATACCTGTCCTGCACCGAAACGCAATATGAGCGCCTGACCCAGCCACGCGGCCTAAACTGGAGCGTAGCCTGAAGCCTGGGGGAGGCGGCCGATCTCCTGGCACGGAACCCACTCACAAACGAGAACTAAACACTGCCCTGCTACCCCCCTCCCCCCCCCTCTGGACCAGCGGGGACGACTACCCGCGCAACACGGCTCGAACAAGCGACAAAGCCTGCAGTCAAACGGAACTGTCAGGGCCCAATCAAGATGGCGGCGCAGGTGCGGCCAGCGATGAAAAGCACCCATACCAAACCACCCAAGCACATCCTGGAATTCTTTGACCAGCTCTGCACAAGCCTCTGGACAAAGCTCCGTACCAAGGGTTGGACCTTCCAGCTAGCGATGAGAGAGGCGGCGGCATGGCTTCGCCCTGCAACCCGGCACCACCTGTGTGCGTACATGCCCCAAGCCTCCAGAGCGGCCACCCGACGGAGACGATGCCGAAGATCAAGATGGCAGGAAACGGCGACATGTCCCTCGGGCGCCAGCACTCGCTCTCACATACACCAGAGCGGGACCATCAAGCATGCCCGACCTGCTTACCGCTCAGAGGCACCAGAAACCTCTGACCAGCGAAGCGCAACTCCGCACCTAAGGACTCATGCTGACAGCCGCGATGCTAACCGGTGATGCAGCACAGACTTCTACTGGCGAGCGAAACGGGTGGAGAGCCCCTCCAGGGCCCATCGGTGATGGAACCTTGCTGAAGCACCAACTCTGCCCTTAACCCTGGCTCACCGGTCAAGCCTCTAGAGCCAGCATCGGCTGATCAATGTGGACTGAACCAGAGACTGACTATGCTCCTGAATGCCCAAATGCGGATATACTGCATGATCTCACCGTACAGTTTATTACCAATGTGCTGTTTTTCCAAGCTCTTGTACCTCTCTGCTCTGCTATCACTTAACGTTAACTATAGCTGCTAAATGCCTAGGCTGTATGAGACTTACCACAGTTCTATTTGGACCCCCCACAGTTTAGAACCTAACATTTAATCTGCAGGGATGGTGCCCAACTTGTCTCACCCTCCTTTTGACTACATGTAAGACTCCCGCGCACATAGTCTCATAGCACACTTCACAGGGAGCGCAGGTTGATCATAAGGTCCATGCTATGCAGCATAATGTGGGTAGAGAAGCAGGCTACCTTTGTCCCCCTCGCCCGTACTTATGACCAGAGATATTCATTATAAGCTAGGCTGAGTTGCTCAACTGGGCAACATGTTCATGTTTATAACTAATTACCTCTAGTTCCTCACAGATATCTTATCGATATACATGACCCCCTATTCTCACTACCCACCTCATCTGCTCCAAGTACTGTTTACTTTTTAATAATTTGCCTAGCATGCTAAACCAATTGATTATAATGGCAAGGTTTCAGCTCCTATGTTTTACGTTCACATACCTACCACAAATGCCAATATGCACAACCTTTGACAACTGACCATACGTTCATACCCTGTAATGTTGCTATATACAAATTGTGGTGAATTTTCCACATGCTGACCAACTGTTAACATATGTTTGATAATATGCTTGTCAAAGCTGTTGGGGCATGACGAGCCCACTTGTTATATTTTCATGCACACCCAAAAATAAAGAATTTAAAAAAAATTTAATTAAATTTCACTACTAATAAATCTCTTTTTTTTATAATAAGTGTGTGGCGAAAGCTGCCTTGCCACTGGACATTGGAGAGGCCTGGCTGCCCGCCTCCTACCTGCGGACTATGGCCCCTTGTGAATTTGTACTTTTTGGATGCAATATTTGGGCAGGTGGTATTTTATATTGCTGCTACTGGCCCTTTAAGGGCCATCCGTGGACATATTATGACTGTTAGGAACAATGCCCTTTAAGACTGTGTAGCAGATTGCATTCAGGCTGTATTATGTGTTCGGTAAACGGTGTTATGTGTATGCAGCATTCCCCTGATTGTTCGGTAGAATCACTCCATTCATTATATTGAGTGAAACTACCGAACAACCAGACCACCCTGGAGTAAGTGTGCCTCCAATTACCGTTTGCAACAATGTTGCAAACAGGTAATTGGCAATCTTTGTAATGTGTTCTTTGTCCTCTGGGTGGCCGCCATTCGGGAAACGAACACGTGGCGGCGGCCATCTTAAACTCCCGAACAGCGGTGTTTTGCCGTCGAGTGTCTGGAACTAAAATCGGACACTCAACTAGGCAAACACCGCTGAGACCTCCAGACTTCCATGAATTTGTGTGGAAACTACCGAATGACCCGCCGTTCGGTAGAAAGAACCCCACGAACAAGGGAATTTGTTTAAACCCTCCCCAGGCTCTATAACCCCGGCAATTCGTGTGTTTCATTCCCTTTTCTGTGACCGACTGCAGGGTCAAAATACATTTTCGGATACTTTTGCCATGCAGTTGGTCAAAACTTTAACCCTCCATAATTCCCGAACCCCTGGTCCGATCTGGGTGATTTTTGGATATGTGTCTCACCCAGATCAGGGCTACCAGGGGATGTAACATTTAAAGGGGTATCCCTATGTTTAGGGGTACATCCAGTATCCCAGGGAATTTGTGTCTGGACTAATGGGATTATGTGTCACACTAAGGGGAGGAGATGTGTGGGAGGTAACTGGTACATTATTGGCTGGGGTACTAATTGTTGTGGATCCCTCCCTTGCATGGGAGAATGTCTTAAAAAGGAGGTTGTGTGAATAAATCTTCAGATTCTGCTTAACTCTCAAAACAAAGTGTCGTCTCGTTATTGGGGGAATTGGATTGTTTTTTTTTTTTTTTATTCAAAAAGTTTTTATTTTGATTTAAATTCGCGTAACAATCCAGTTTGAAGAAGGATACAGCAGGTAGAAGGTACATGGGCATCTTAATATAGCATGGTAACAGTTAGTTTACAGAGCAGGTAATGGTTTAGGCATAAAAAACATAAGATATAAAATATGTACGTGGGTATTTCAGTGCCGTGGGGTTTGGTAACTCACTGAGTTGATCCCATCGTCATGGCTACTGAAGATCGGGCCATGCGCATATAATGAACAGAGTTTTTAGAAACAGTTGCGTGTTTTGAATCATTCAACATTTGTGGTATGGTGTGGGTAGTTTTGCGGTAAGTTACAGAGTTATGAGTTTTAGTGGGGGATGTGATTCAGTGTTTATCTTGGGGGTGGGTTTGGTATACCTAACAGGTTGTACTGCTCATATTGTTTTAGTATGTGGGGTTTCATTGGTTGGATGGGTGTACATGTGGAGGTCTTATTTAGTGGGGATATATGCCCTGGGTTGCGTTGGTGGGGTCCAGTGGGGTGGGTCTTTTGTTGGGGCTTCGGGTATGGAGCTCGGAGCCGGTCCGTTAGTGTTATGAACGGGGGTGGGGTGGGGTGTACTGGCAGCATTGGTTTGTGTGTCTAAGTGTTGCTACGCTCAGAGCCGTCTGGTAGCTGGGGGAGAAAGCTGGGGGTTTCTGGCCCGGTAGTTGTCGTGTTGTGTGTAGCGTGAGTGTTGTCTCTGGCGTGCTGTCTTGTGTATGTCTCTGTTGTGTGTCATGGGTACGGTGCGTGTTGTTCGATCTGTGTTGGGGGGGAGTGAGGGGTGAGCGTTGTTTGTCTTGTGTCATGATTATTCATCTCTGTGTTGGTTTGTCTCTGAAGGGTTGTAGGTGGGCGGAGTCGCTCAGGAGGGGGCGAGGGGGGGGTAATGAAGAATGGGGACCGGGGGGTGTGGGTGGTTTCAGGTTAAGCGGGATGAGGTATAGGGAGTTAGTGGTGGGTTAGGCGGGGGACGGCCCAGGTCTCGGTCCAGCTCCTCCGGCCTCGGCCCGGGGGGACAATTCCACTTCTGTATCTGAGGGCTGTAAGTCCCCGTCTCCCATCGCTGTGGCAGAGGTGAGCCATTGTGACCAGTGATACCAGGTGTCGTGGTAGCGTTGTATGCATCCCGTCGCCGAGAGGATGAGCTCCTCTATACGTCTGATGTCTTCTACTCTGATCATCCATTCATTGATTGTCGGGGCCGTAGGTTGTTTCCAGTGTCTCGGAATGAGGCTGCGAGCCGCATTCAGGAGATGCGGGATTACAGATTTTTTTGTATTTGTTGAAGGGGAGCGGGGTCAGGTGGAGCAGATAGGTTTCGGGTGTAAGTTGTAGCTTCGCGTCCGTTACGGTCTCTAGGACTTTGTGGATTTCCGTCCAGAATGGTTTGATGAGTGGGCAGGTCCACCATATATGGAAGAGGGTTCCCAGTTCTTTCCTGCATCTCCAACATTCTGGTTCAGAGGTGGACATCATTGCCGATAATTTCTCTGGTGTTCGGTACCAGTGCGAGATCATTTTATATCCTGCTTCCTGGTATTTGGTGGCTATAGAGGCTTTGTGTATGAGCGTAAACACTGTGGTCCATTTTTCCCTGGTGAGTGGGTGTCCTAGATCTTTTTCCCAGTATCTGGTGAAGTAAGGGAGGGGAGCATCGGTGGGAGGTGTGATTAGTAGTGTGTATAGGAGTGAGATTGCGTGTGGTGGGATCGAGGGGCTTGTGCAAAGGGTTTCGAAGGTGGAGAGTGTTCGTGTTGCCGATTTCAGTTCGGGCATGTGCGTCAGGAATTTCGTAAGCTGGTGGTATCTGAAGCGGAGTGGCCAGTTGTGCGTGGTATCTGGGACCAGGTCTCTCAGAGGGGTAATCGTGCCTTGTTTGTATATGTCCTTTAGTCTGCATGGATATGGCAGCCCTAGGGTTGTGACGTAGCGAGGTTCCATCGCCGGGGGGAATTTGGGGTTATGGGAGATAGGGCAGAGGGGAGATAGCTCCGGGGCCATGTCCCTGTGTCGCGCTAAGCCTCTCCAGACCGCCAGAGTAGCGTTTATGGTTGGGTGTTGTCGTGGTAGTTCGTTGGTCATAGCTTTTGGTAGCCAAGGGAGAAGAGATAGGGGGGTCTGTGAGAAGCTTGCCTCAATCGGGATCCAAAGTTTGTTTTCCGGGTTGTGTGTCCATTCAATCAGACGCTGGAGATGGACGGCTCGCCGATATTTGGTCAGATCGGGTAGGCCCAGTCCCCCGTGGTGTTTGGGTCTCGTGAGAGTGGCGAAGTTCAATCTCGCCCTCTGGCGATGCCACACGTACTCTGTCATTATCTGTCGGGCTTGGGTGAAGAAGGTGGTGGGGATGTGTATGGGTAGGGTTTGCAAGAGGTACAGGAGTCGTGGGAGTATGTTCATCTTGAGTACGCTGATCCTCCCCAGCCATGTGATGTGTGGCAGCTGCCATGCGTTCAGGTCTTTTTTAATCTGGTCAAGAAGGGGTGGGAAGTTGATTCGGAAACTGGCTGTGAGGTCTGCCGACAGCCAGATACCTAAGTATTTGATTGCTTCTGTGCACCAGTGGAAAGGGAAGTCATTTTGTAGTATGTTTACCAGTGGTTGGGGGCAGCCCACATTGAGGATTTCTGATTTGGTGAAGTTGATTTTTAGGTTTGACAGTATGCCATAAGTGTCAAATTGATGCATTAATTCTCTGAGGGAGGATGCTGGGTCGGTGATGGTAAACAGGAGGTCGTCCGCGTATGCCGCAACCTTGCTGACTCCCCACCCGCCTCCGATCCCTGCGATGTTGGGTTGGGTTCTGATGGCATTTAGGAACGGCTCCAAGCTGAGGACAAATAGCAGGGGCGATAGTGGGCAGCCCTGCCTCGTGCCGTTTCTTATTTCAAAAGGATCCGAGAGAATTCCGTTTACTTGTACTCGGGCAGCTGGGTTGGTGTATAGGGCTGATATCCGGGCCAGCATGTGCGGTCCCATCCCAAGGTGCTCTAGGGTGGAGAATAAGAAGGACCAGTCCACCCTGTCAAACGCCTTTTCGGCGTCTGTCGAGACCAATAGGGCGCGCTTGTGTCCTCGTCCAGCTGCGTGTATTAGGTTGAGTGCCTTGACGGTGTTGTCCCTGGCCTCTCTTCCCTCCACAAATCCCACTTGGTCAGGGTGGATGAGGTCCGGTAGTAAGGGTTGGAGGCGGAGTGCCAGTACCTTGGCGAGCAGCTTGAGGTCAGTGTTCAGCAGGGATATTGGTCGGTAGCTGGTGCATGAGGACGGGTCTTTTCCTTCCTTCGGTATCACCACGATATGGGCCAGGAGCGTGTTGGGATCCAGTGGGTTCCCCTTATGGATGGCGTTAAACAGGGTAAGCAGGTGTGGGGTGAGAGCGTCTGCGAACGTCTTGTAGTATTTTGCCGTGTACCCGTCTGGTCCTGGGCTTTTCCCCTGTTTGGCCAGTTTGATTGCTAGATGTATTTCTTCGGCAGTGATGTCTTCCTCCAGTACGGTTACGGCCCGGGGCGGGAGCTTGGAAGTCAGGTTCTGCGCTATATATTCTTTCTGACGAGCTATGAAGGTTGCTTCTGTGGAGTTTGTTCGCGAAGTGTGTAGAGGTAAGCAATATAGGGAGGAGTAGTATTGTCGGAAGCCGTCTGCTATGGCTTTGGGTGTGAGCATGTGTGTCCCTGCTGCTGTGATCTTTTGGACGTGGCATTTTTGCCTGCGCGCTCTCAGTGCTCTGGCTAATAGTTTGCCACTTTTATTTCCGAATTCGTAAAATGTTTTTTTTGCGAGTTGGAACTGGAATTGGATCTTTGATTGTAACCGAGAGTTGAGTTTCGCTCTAGTCTCCAGAAGTTGTTTATAGGTGGCGTCATGAAGGGTGTGTTTGTGTTTTGCTTCCAGTTGGGCCACCTGGGTGACAAGGTGTGCAATTTCTTGTGTACGTTGTTTTTTCAGGCGGGTGCCATGTTTGATAAGGATCCCTCTAATGACGCATTTATGCGCCTCCCATATTGTAGGCGGCGTGGAGTCAGGTGTCTTGTTGGTGAGGAAGAAGTGTTCTAGAGCGGAGCGTACGTCTGTTTGGATTAGTGGGTCTTCCAGGAGCGATTCATTTAATTTCCACGTCCATTGCGGTTTTAAGGGCTTGGGGTGTTCTATGGTGATGATTACTGGTGCGTGGTCTGACCAGGTCATAGGCGCTATTTGGGCTGCTAGCAGCGTGTCTAGGTCTCTGTGTTGGGTGAAAAAATAATCTATCCTTGAGTAGGATCTATGTGGTGCTGAGTAGTAGGTGAAATCTCTGTCTGTGTGGTGTAGGATGCGCCAGGTGTCAGTAAATTGGTGATTTGAGAGGAGAGTCCTCATTCCTCTGAGGATGTGTCCTGGTATCGTAGATGCGCCTTTGGACGTGTCCATTTTGGGGTCTAGGGGGGCATTGAAGTCTCCTCCAATTATGATTGTGCCTTCACCGAATTCTTCTAGGGTTCTGAGGGCCGAGGCCAGAAACGGTTTCTGGCCTTTGTTTGGGAGGTACAGGTTTGCAAACGTGAGTGTGGAGTTGCCTATTTTCCCCTTAATAAAGAGATATCTGCCCTCCGTGTCTCTTACTTCTGCTTCCAGGTGGAACTGGGTGTTTGCTGAGAATAGTATGGCTACTCCCTTAGATTTGGTCGAGGGGTTGTGCGCGAAGTGGCCGTTGGGGTAGTGTTTGTTGGAGAACTTCGGGGCCTGTGGTGCGTGAAAATGGGTTTCCTGGAAGAAGGCTATCGACACTCCCAGTGCTCTGAGTTCCCGTAACGCTCTGGCCCGTTTATGAGGAGAGTTGAGGCCTCTCGCGTTAAGCGTGTAGAGTTTGAGGTGGTCCCAGTTGGGTCTGCCCGCGTAGGGGGCGTGGGGCGGGCCCATGCTGTGGGTGTCGCCCCCGGGCCGGACCGGCCGGTGGACCCGGGCGGGCGAGGGTCAGGGGGGGTTGTAGGTGGGTGTAAGGGAGAGGGGAGGGAGGGGTCTACGAGGGAAGGAGGGGGTGGGAGAAGGGGTGTAAGGTAGTCGGGTGTGTGTAGTGGGGCAGCTAGTTTAGGTTTTTGTAGCTCGTTGGGGTAATAGTAGTAAGGGGCAATGTGCCGCTGGTAGGTAGAGGTCTAGGGGAGTTGCTTCCCGTAGCTACCTAGCAGGTCGTAGGCAGTGTACCCGTGGGGTTGGTGGCGCCGGTGAGGGGGTAGGTCACCCGTCTGTGACTGTGTCGCCGGTTGGCGTCAAGTCCAGTTCTCGTCCGGCCTCCGCCGCCCCAGAGTGTTGCGGTGTAGGACGGTGTGGCACCCATCTGAGGGTAGGTCGTGTGTTTAATCTAAGGTGCATGCGAGCGGGTTTTAGTGGTGGTCCTTGTATGGTTCTTACCGTGTGATACGGGTGATGAGGGTGAGTTAAGGCCTATGGGAGAGCGACTTGCAGGTTATGAACACGCAGTGATCAACATTGTATAAGAGAACATTTGTAACATTCAAAAACAATTCAATGCAATTCAATTCAATTCAACTAATTCGTACAGTTTGAGTATGCCCTGATGAGGTGGGGGTCATCCCGTGTTAGTCGTCCTGAGATTGCGTTCTGTGGGTCACTCGGGGTCTTACGGTATTCGGTCAAGTCAGGGGGAGGAGGGTGGGGCGGGGAGGGCCCGTATGTCAGCTCAGACTCGTCTTAGTTCGTATTCTAGCTGTCTCTTCCAAGGGGAGATTCGGCTTTCCGTATAGTCATGTGAGAGTCATTGTGTGTCAGGCCTCGTCTATTGTCACCATAAGGTGGTAGCTGGTGTGGTCGTTCAGTAAGACTTAATCGGTAGGGATCATCATGGATAATCAGTTCGGGATTGCTTATCTGTCTTTCGTGTGAGCAGTCGGCTGTCGTATGTCAGGAGCTAGAGATGTTACCATTTGCTAAGTGACTCCCCAAATCGTGGTCAGTCTTCTCTGATAGCTGATATTCCATGTGTTATGTGATAGGTACGTTTTGTGTTCCGGTAGTTGGGAGGGCACCTAACTGTTATAGGCCTAGTCCTGAGTTAGCCTTGCAGTCATCGGTCAGTGCAATACAAGTGTCCCTATCGTCCGTGTCGCTGTCTTGTCTCCTGCATGTGATGTGCAGGTACGTGACGTGGTGTCTGTCCGTCGCGTTTGTGTTTACATTTCAATCCCCACAGATTACATAGAGGAACACAGATGAGTAGCTTTGACTTCGAGTATCTTTGACTTGGAATAGTCTGTATTTAGCATTGCGGGCTCTGCCGCCTCCAGTGCCTGTGTATTAGTGTCTGTGTCGTGGTGGTTGTACTCATGAGTGGAAATGCCTGTATGCCGTGTATGCTGTCTATCTGTGGTGTGGGAACAGCAGAGCAGGAACATTAGCATATCACACTTCAGCATATCACGAGTGTCCCTGCTTCAGTATGTTGCCTTTGTATGGTGTGTGGCTGTGTGGCGTGCTAATGTACGTGGGAGAGTGCCCCATGTGGTGGGGTTGTTTTTGCGTCACAGTTAGTAGTATTTTATGTAAAGCGTGTGGTTGGTGTATAGTCTTGGGGCGTTGTGACCCCTGGCATAGTACTTGCGCTTTTGAGTTCTCTCTTCTTCTGGAGGGAGTCCATTGTGTGGCAGTGTTAGGCCACTTATCAGTTGCCCGTGGGGGTACTTGTGCAGTGTTGGGTCCTTCTTGACGGGGGCTCATGTTCTCTGGTCGTGTAGGGGTGAGCTTAGTCCGCTGACAGGTTCCTTGTGCGAGGAGTGGCGAGTGTGGTGTAGATGTTTGCTGGTGGCCACATTTATTTTGTACGAGTGTCCTGGGTCTGTTGGACGGCTGGTGTAGTTGTCCATAGCTTTGTTTCTTCCGGTCATGTTTCGTCGTTCCTTGATGGAGTGAGGAGAGAGGAGGGGAAGAAGAGAAAAAAAAAAAAAAAGGGAAAGAAAAAGAGGGGGGTGCCCCGTGATCCCAGAAAAAATGTCAGCGTGGAGTCTTCAGCGATTTCTCAGGCAAACGGGGTAGGTTTATTCCTCTGGGCTCGCTTGCTGTAGAGAGGTAAATTCAGCGTTTGGTCCCTGCTGGATGTGGCGGCGGGTTGGTCGCCCTGTGAAGCGCTCATTCATCGGGCAATTTGTCCAGTCTGCGATGGGCATTTGTGGGAGGCCAAGGGCTTCTTGGAAGGCTTGTACGTCTTGTGGTGATCTTATCGTGGCTTCGGTGTCATCTCGCCGAGCTGTTAGGGCAAATGGGAATTGCCAGCGGTAGCGTATTTGGGCCTCCTGCATGGCGGTGGTAAGGGGCCGCAGCGCTCTTCGGGCCTGTAGGGTGAGGTGGGAGAGGTCGTTATATAGTTCGACCGTCTGCCCCTCATGCCTCCAGGACCTCTCCGTCCGGGCTTTCCTCATAATTTCTTCCTTAAGTTGGAAGTCTGGGATGTGGCAAATTATGTCTCTAGGAGGGGCACCTGGCGGGGGCTTAGGCCTCAGGGCCCTGTGTGCTCTGTCTATGGGGATGCGGCGTCTCTTGGCCGGTTCAGGATACGGTTAAAGAGTGGTGTCAAAATGGCCCTCGTGTCTTCTGGGGGGTCTGTTTCCCTGCATCCTCTTACCCGTATATTGTGTCTGCGGCTGCGATTATCCAGGTCTTCAATGTGTAAGCGTAGGTCCTGGATCTGTTTAGCCTGTGCTGTCGTGGCTGCGAGCGCCGGGCAGGGCAGGTCGGGGCGTCGTGATTCCAGGGCCTGCACTCTGGTCTCTAGTGCTGTAATGGAGGAGCCCAGAGCTGATATTTCTGTGTGCAGCGTGGTTTTAACCTCTTCCAGGAGGGAGTGGAAGTCCTCCTTCTTAGGTAGGGATGCATAAAGGGCATACCAGTCTGGTGCTGGCGCGGCAGTTCCGTTCGTTCCAGTGTTGGGGACTTCTTCCGATAGTGTGGAGCTCGGTGAGGAGGGCGCCATATTGGATAGTTCCTCCTGTGTGAGAAGATCGCCTGGGGTGTGCAGGTAGCTTCTGATCGAGGGGTGCGGGTTGTTCCCCTGAGTTCTTGGCGTGGAGGGGGTCATTTGGGCTCGCTTGGTGCGTCCCATGGGTGCCAGATTGCGCTGTTTAGATGTGCTTATGGGGCGGTCGGGAGCGGAGCGAGGAGATTAGGCGGCCATTCTCGTCCGGCGCCAAGCCACGCCCCCCGGGGGAATTGGATTGTATGCTGACTGCTAGGAGTGTAACCCTTTCGTATGGTTTTCCTGTTCGGATATTTCCAGTGTTAATGTGTTTCCAGTTCGGGAGATCGGTGCTTACAGTAGCTGTCGGTGTATCTGGAAAGGGGAATATCGCCTAAACGTTTTTTAACCTCTGGTGAGCAAAACGGACCGTTACAAAGTGCAATCTATCTTGCGTCCCAAATACCGTATTTCACAAACCACTAAACTAGCGTTAAACTTGGCTGTTAACGTGGAGTATGGGCATCAAAACTCCAGTAGTTATGAGAATGTTCTTTCAAATGACATTGTTAAAGAAAAGATCATCTAAGTTTGAAGGTTTTAACACAGTTTGTGTGAAATTGGAGAACCAAAAAGCATTAACATTTATCCACTCAACTGTGGCGTTTCTGACATTTTCTAGAAATATTGTTTTCATGTTTCAAAACCTAAAAATGAAAATTACTTTGAATGCAAAACATTGTTCCATTCTGTGGATTACATATGGTAAGAGATTTTGGACTAAAACTAAAAACAAAATTGGAAAGCTGTGTTCCCCTTATCTTAACTCTTTCGTTTTCTACAAAACCTGCCGGTTTTGAGCTAGTACAAACTAAAATGACTCTGTGATCTTAAAAGTTTTCTTCAAGCACCATAACCACTTCATTTGAAGCGTTTCACCTTAAGACATTGCAAAAAAAAAAAAGAAATGGTTGCTTGCGCCCTATCCCAAATCCTTACGAACATTTAAATAACAGGAGTTTTTTTTAGTATCACTTCAACATTAAAATTTAAGCTCACCTGCCCCGCAAGGGCAAAGCTCTCAGTTGAGTCCTACACTAGCAATACAGGTAGAGTCCTACACTAGCAATTTACCTTGCTGCTTTTAACTAAAAGGTAACCTTTAATAGAGTATGGGGTGGGCGGCAGCACTGTGACATGGCTGTACAATACAAAAGCAAATACAAACATACAAAATGAACCAGGAAAGAGGGCAAACCATTTAGCAATAGTGAAGAACCTGGCTAGGATACTTAGAAACATAGAATGTGACGGCAGATAAGAACCATTCGGCCCATCTAGTCTGCCCAATTTTCTAAATACTTTCATTAGTCCCTGGCCTTATCTTATAGTTAGGATAGCCTTATGCCTATCCCACGCATGCTTAAACTCCTTTACTGTGTTAACCTCTACCACTTCAGCTGGAAGGCTATTCCATGCATCAACTACCCTCTCAGTAAAGTAATACTTCCTGATATTATTTTTAAACCTTTGTCCCTCTAATTTAAGACTATGTCCTCTTGTTGTGGTAGTTTTTCTTCTTTTAAATATAGTCTCCTCCTTTACTGTGTTGATTCCCTTTATGTATTTAAATGTTTCTATCATATCCCCCCTGTCTCGTCTTTCCTCCAAGCTATACATGTTAAGATCCTTTAACCTTTCCTGGTAAGTTTTATCCCGCAATCCATGAACCAGTTTAGTAGCCCTTCTCTGAACCCTCTCTAAGGTATCAATATCCTTCTGAAGATACGGTCTCAGTACTGTGTACAATACTCCAAGTGAGGTCTCACCAGTGTTCTGTACAATGGCATGAGCACTTCCCTCTTTCTACTGCTAATACCTCTCCCTATACAACCAAGCATTCTGCTAGCATTTCCTGCTGCTCTATTACATTGTCTGCCTACCTTTAAGTCATCAGAAATAATCACCCCTAAATCCCTTTCCTCAGATGTTGAGGTTAGGACTCTATCAAATATTCTGTACTCTGCCCTTGGGTTTTTACGTCCAAGATGCATTATCTTGCACTTATCCACATTAAATGTCAGTTGCCACAACTCTGACCATTTTTCTAGTTTACCTAAATCATTTGCCATTTGGCTTATCCCTCCTGGAACATCAACCCTGTTACATATCTTAGTATCATCAGCAAAAGACATACCTTACCATCAAGACCTTCTGCAATATCACTAATAAAAATATTAAAGAGAATGGGTCCAAGTACAGATCCCTGAGGTACCCCACTGGTGACAAGTCCAAGCTTCGAATATACTCCATTGACTACAACCCTCTGTTGCCTCTCACCCAGCCACTGCCTTACCACTAAGCTCTTTTAATAACTTTGGGTGTATTCCATCAGGTCCCATTGACTTATTTGTCTATACTTTTGACAGTTGAAATAGAACCTAAATAGAACCAAATGATTTAGGTAAACTAGAAAAATGGTCAGAATTGTGGCAACTGACATTTAATGTGGATAAGTGCAAGATAATGCATATTGGACGTAAAAACCCAAGGGCAGTGTACAGACTATTTGATAGAGTCCTAACCTCAACATATGAGGAAAGGGATTTAGGGGTGATTATTTCTGATGACTTAAAGGTAGACAGACAATGTAATAGAGCAGCAGGAAATGCTAGCAGAATGCTTGGTTGAATAGGGAGCGGTATTAGCAGTAGAAAGAGGGAAGTGCTCATGCCATTGTACAGAACACTGGTGAGACCTCACTTGGAGTATTGTACACAGTACTGGAGACCGTATCTTCAGAAGGATATTGATACCTTAGAGAGGGTTCAGAGAAGGGCTACCAAACTGGTTCATGGATTGCGGGATAAAACTTACCAGGAAAGGTTAAAGGATCTTAACATGTATAGCTTGGAGGAAAGACGAGACAGGGGGGATATGATAGAAACATTTAAATATATAAAGGGAATCAACACAGTAAAGGAGGAGACTATATTTAAAAGAAGAAAAACTACCACAACAAGAGGACATAGTCTTAAATTAGAGGGACAAAGGTTTAAAAATAATATCAGGAAGTATTACTTTACTGAGAGGGTAGTGGATGCATGGAATAGCCTTCCAGCTGAAGTGGTAGAGGTTAACACAGTAAAGGAGTTTAAGCATGCGTGGGATAGGCATAAGGCTATCCTAACTATAAGATAAGGCCCGGACTAATGAAAGTATTTAGAAAATTGGGCAGACTAGATGGGCCGAATGGTTCTTATCTGCCGTCACATTCTATGTTTCTATGTTATCCTACTTCTAGTATTATAACCATTATAGTGGCCTGAACTCATTATAACGCTTGAATTAACCGTTTAATTGTTTGGGTTTTTTAAAGCAATTTAGAATGTTAAAAATAATATGTCTTTACTATAAGCATTTTTAGAAATTATAAAGGGTTCATTACATTTACCAACTCAGTTATTTAATAAACTCTGGACATGCACAATTTAAATGCCCTGAAATTTTAATTTGGCTATTCACCCAATGCAATTGTGGGAAACATTATGTTAATATTAAAAACTTCAAAACATTTTTTTTTTATTTACTTTGTGAAAATTAGCTGAAAGGAATGAATGTCTGCATGAAGAAAATTGTTTTATTTTCAATCAGATGTTACTTAACTTAAATGCTTTTATCTCCTCTGTAAATTGAACTTTAATCTCACACAGGATGCTCCTGCTGTTAACAGAGCCAGAGATAAATTAAACACATTCTGCAGTGAAGGAAGTGTAAGCATTAGATGACTCTTTACATGAAGTGTTTAGTGAGGCTGTGTAAGTCACATGCAGGGAGGTGTGATTAAGACTACATAAACAAAGTGACTTAACGGTGGTTATAGTATCCCTTTAACGTATTCAGTGTTTTCCGCTTCTGCATGGTACACCTGTTTAGCCAGTCTCGCTGAGATAATTAGTGTTTATTATCCAATAAAAGTCAGATTTAGATGTCTGAGGCCGCCAAAAATAAATAATAAAAATGAACCGCAGGCTGTCAGTTTGTCAGCTTGCTTCCAGGAATAGATGTCCAGCAACACTAAAAAGATCTATAAAGATTAGAAAGCTACATTATTGCTGGTTTATGTTCTGTCATATAAAATCAAGTTGATACAACGCTTGAAGGTCATAAAGTATTTACACTAAGATTTACAATAAATCAGGTTACGAGTTCTCCTGCAGACGCGTGTCACAGGGCTGTGCGCAGTAAGATCTCAATATACATTACACTAATTTATTCTAGCCCATTAAACCCTGCACAACATGTTGGTGTAAGGATATGAAATAGTTAACTCTTTTTTGCATTAAATGCTTTAAAATAATGTTTGAAATAATTATGCTGACCTTGGCAGATGTATTCTGTAACATGCTTTGAGAGCCCTCCCTTCTACAGGATGTATGACCTCGCTCGACCTCAGGATGTTCCTGTCCCGTCTTTATTCAAATGCTTATCTTTTTAATGTCAGACAAGTATGTACTATTAACTACAAGGAAACGATAAATCTCGCTGCTTGCGTGACAAACTGTGTATAAATGCTAGCCCTGAAAATATACTCACTGAGAACTTGTTAAGCACTCTTTCGTGTCTGTGTCTTAATTTGCTTAATAAGAACTCCCGTCAATTGATGTGGTGACCGGAGAATCGAGAATCGAGGGCAGTTGAGTCCAGAACAGCATTAACCCTTTCAGTTGGTGATTTCTAAAGGATTTGTATTAGCCGCAGGATTCCATTGGTCTCCATGGTGATATCTCCAATTTTAAAACTCTGCAAATATTTTATGAGATCAATAGTTTTTTTTTATAAATCTGTAGCAACAATAACCCTCCTCATATCTAAAAGACTACATATAAAGTAGCGTTTTGGGGCAAAACTCTGCAAGTGGGGCAGTCACTATGGAAACCAACTGAATGTTCGTGCTGATTGCTCCGCAATCTTTCTGATCACACATCTCCAATACGTTTCAAACAGATAAAAAAACTGTTGATAACCTGTTACTGGTCAGACACTGGCGATAGGACTAGTCCTAGTTCTTCGATACAGTAATGTCCTTCCAGAATACAAAGACATAAAACAAGCTTGTAAGAGAAGTCTTTCCTGGAGTAATCTTCAAATGCTGAGGAAACGTTTTGCATTTCTAAGAATAAACAAAGATGTTGGAATATCTTACATGGGGTTTCCTCCGTCCAAACCTATTTTTGGCTTTTTT